CAGCTTCTTTGCTTTCTCAGTCCTCCCTGGCAGGACCAGCCTTCCTTTTCCTCTCCTGAGCTTCTGTGAATCCCTCTTCGGCCTTCCTGTTGTTGAGAAAGAACATCTTCCTCCTCTGAAGAGGACTTAGTTTGGTGAGGCATAAGAACTGAAAGAAGCAGTATTTGAATAGCATGTTCCACAATCTTCTGCAAGCACAGTTAGATGTGGAAGGAAGTGTTAATGTTTTTTCAGTGCTTAGGATTTGGAGAGAGCTGGAAAGCCTGGAGTTTGTTCTGCCTTCTCTTGGGGTGGGGTGGGGTGGGGGACAGCTGCAGTTTTCAAGCTATGAGAGTATAGTACATTGGCAATGTATTGCTTTCATGATGGAGAAATATATCAATGTGTTTTCCAAGCTTTTGGATTATGAATGGGATGTGACATTGGGCGCTAACAATGAAAATCATGAACACTATCCTCTGCTTGCTCAAATGGAAAGATATTGATGATTATGTGGCCAGGTGACATATTTGCTTCTTTTCTTTAGTAGGGAGAGAAGGCATCATCTCAATAAATGTCCAGTACTGTATCTGCTAATGCTAAAATTCCAAGTTTAGTCAAACTGAGCTTTATTCTATTCTACATCTTATAGTGAAAAAATCTGGGCCACGGAGTACCTGTCTAAATAAATACCCGTGACCCACAAGTACAGGATTTATAGAATCCAGCTGCAGCAACTGACACTGAAACCAATCTGGGTGGCATGTTAATTTTTATGACAGCATCTTTCTAATTGCTGCATATGGATATTTGGAATTTAGAATTTGTGGGTTGCAATGGGAGAAATGTATTTGTTATTGAGAAATTAGCTTCGAATTTCCGTGCTGACACCCCACTATACACCCACAGGGCAACTACGCACTTCTGCTGAAAAGCAGTTCCCATTGAGTTTAATGGGGCATACCCCCAGCTAAGTAAGAAAGCAGTTGCAATTTTAGATAAATAGACTTCTCTTTTCTTCAAATCTCTTAGGTACTAATGAGTTTTCTTCTTTCTTCTTTAAGTATAAAATATTAAAATAAGAGTTCATTTGAATCAAAACAAACTATCTGAAATTTTAAATGTTTAATTAGGTAGAGTTATTTGGTAAGAGCATTACTGTACTAAAATCAAGTGTAATATCAGTCTACATAGGCATTTACTTGAAGGGCTATGGTTTTTTTTGCTGAAAAGCAAATAATGAGGATTTCTGTTTTTTGAAATAAGAGTTAAACTTTAAATCCTGTTAACACGCATCTGGAACATCTATTCTTTCCTACACTCTGGAAGTCTGCCTTCTTTTCTAGCAAACTCTCTGTAGTGTATGTGTAAAACTGTTTTGAACACTGTAAAGCTGTTTTGAACACTGTAAATCTAGAACTATCAGGGATAAGGCAGCTAACATCTTGTCATCCTCTGCTTTATCCAAAACATTCCCCAACACGCCAGCTACAATGATGATCAAAACCACAGTCCTAATGAATAGGTCAATAAGAAGCCATGTTCTCAGATTCAGAAGCTGGCACCAATCATCATCTCTGATGCTTTAGAACAATCATTAAGCCACAAGCCTCAGGTGCAAAAAGACAACAAACAATTGTAAACACTTTTATGTGAACAAGTGATTTAGCCTGATGATGGTTGCTTCCCGATGACATCTTGATAAAATTGGTAACATGATGCCTTTTCATGTGGTCTGCTTTTTCTTTTGATTTTTTTTTCCTTTCCAGGAAAATACAGCAGTCTGGGGGGGGGGGAGGGGGGGGAGAGAGAGAACTTGGAAAAAAAGAGAGAAAAAGAATCTGAAGGATAGCTTTTAACAGGACCTTGCTGGGCAAGCTGGACCAGACCGCATAGAGAGCCTTGTTACACAAAAGCACTGAATAATAGTGGAAAGAATATGTGTTAGCGAGATAAGCAGGCCACACACTGCCCCTCAAAGGATTCAGCTCGTGAAAATTGATCCTTTAAAAATATCTGTGACTATCCTCTGTTTTAAGAGATGGGTCATAAATACCAAACTGCTAGCTGAAGAAGAGCTTGAAACCAACACGCCTGCTGCAACTGCTTCTATCTAAGAAGTTTGCCCGGTCTCTACACCATCAGCCATGTGAATGTGGGACATTATAAGCAGCACATAAGTTTGGAACTGCCCACAAGAACTTGATGCACAGCCTTGAGGAAGATGATTTATCATCAAAAGCTCACTATTTGGTTTTTGGTTTTAGTTAGTTAGTTTTATACTTTTAATGGCCAATTAAAAGTATCACCTCCTCTTGCATTTGTAAAAATATTCTGTGTCTCCTCCTGGTATCCTAGCTTTCTACACCCGTCCCTATTGACTGCCAAGCTATCCACTGATGGAAAAGGCTTCAGGAGTAAACCTTGAGACAAAATCCGGAGCCGGAATCCCAGAGGCAATTTGTGTTGTTCTGCCAGCTCCTGTGACATCACTGGAATCAGTTGTATTGGCTCTTGCCTTTCCATTGGACTATTTCAGTGACATGGAGAGGGGGGATTTGCTGCTTGCTTAGGTAACAGCCTGTCCTCCATATTAATTTACCCGCTCTTCGTGCTCTGGAGAGGACACTCCAGCTTTGCATACAGTGTCGAAACAACACTGAGAGGGATTGTCACTCTCGAATTGGCCTTCTCAGCCACACTAAATGCTGTTCCAAGTCCTCCATACAGAGCACGCTACCATAGTCTCTTGAGACTGAAGGATGCCTATCTATCCAAAAGCCTCAGTGCCTTCTAAGAAGCACACCGCTTTCTCTAAAAGGTAAACCGGATTGAATTCTCCAGGGGGAAAAAAACAACAGCATTGCACCAATCTTTTTGGTCAAACATATGAAATTTCCCCAACACTTTGTAGCTGTTAAGAATATGAAGAGCCTGAAAGCTTCAAGGGAAACCAAAAGGGTTTTTTAAAAAAAAAATCAGCTGAAAGTACAGTATGTTTTGGGTCTTGGCTCTTCCATCTTGTTTCCCATTGCTGTTAAATCCCCTGTGCTGTAGTGTTCAGAAATTAGAGTAGAGATTGAACATGGATCTAAATCTTTATGGTGCTGTGAAGTAAATTGGATGACGTTTGGCTAGTCATTTGTTTTTCAGTCTCACCTACTTCACAAGGCTGTTGTGAAAATGATAATGAAACAAGCCGTGAGGGGAAAAAAGATCCCCAACATAGAATTCCTAGACAGAATGAAAATTATGCCAAGTCTCGTACTACATTCTGGGCCAAAGTGTAAATTTCCTGTATATCTGGGTATTCTGGAAGGGTGACAGATCCTTAACTATAGTACCGCTGTCGGTCTCTGTGAATAATTCAGGTTTTGCTCTACTTTGACTAGTTCTTTCACACGTACTGTAGTCTGAATAGGTGGGAAAGCATTATATCTCAGGCCTATAATTTGCCTTTCCTTCATAAGCCTTAAAGAACTGGGAAAGAAGGGTAAGCACCACAATTAGAGAGGTACGGGTGAAAAGGTTACCTTTACAAACCTCCAGTGTTTTTGGTCTAAATTTGTAATTCCAGTAGCCAGCACAATTTGAGGGAGAATAATCCCCACCACCACCCTACGGCATGTTACAAATTGACATTATTCAGCTGAATCACTTCACTGAGTTAGGTACGGACAGCCAGTTCCAAAATAGGAGGGAATACTCCCTCCCGCCAAAAAAACTGGGAACAAACCTGAATGCAAATTTGCATACTATTTGCCTCTATATTAATGGAAATTTGGAAACAAATGTAATTTAAATAGAGGTGCAATGATCTAATTATGGTGGGGGAAACCATGGCCAGGGGAGTTGAACTCTTGATTCGCTAGATACCACCCTGTTTATCTTGAAATGGAGCTCAGTTTGGCAGTCCTTCCACATACAGGAAGTCTCTCATTCTTTTTCCTATAGGATAAAGTTGAAGGGAGCTGTGAAAATTGGAGAATGGCTTAATTCAGGGGTACCCAACTACCGGTCCATGGCCCAGTGCCAGTCCGTGGTCTGCCTTGGACTGGGCTGCGGACAGGGATCACCGCCCCCCCGCCTGCCCACATGGGGTGTGTGTCGCGCTTGCTGGTGGCCGTTTCGAGCTTGTGTGCATGTGCACAAGTGTGATGTGTGTGTTGCGCTTGCTGGTGGGCGTTTCGAGCTCGTGAGCATGTGCACAAGTGTGACATGCCCCCCTCATGCTTGCGCGTGACACACCCACCTCTTGGGTGAGCCCAGCCTTGAGCAGAGGGCAGGTGGCTTCATCATGGAGGACCTCGAGCTGACGGACAGGGCGCCTGAACCAGGCCTTCCAGGATGAGGGCTTCCGTGCCTTCTTGGCTGAGTGTGCTGCCGAGGTGGCGGCCCTGGAGCACCAATGGGTGCTGCAGTCCAGCCAGGCTGGCCTCCACTGCTGCTAACTCAATCTCTGCACCGTCTTCCACCTTGATCAAAGAGATCTGGCGTTGGCAGTCACAAGCCTGGACTCCTTGCCTTCCCTGCAACCAGCGGCAGCTCAGATTCTTGCGGCTGCCTGATGGCAGCTGCTGATCCCTGCCACACTGCCTGGCTCCCAGCCACGAGGAGCTGAGCCGCTGCTGGTTGCAGGGAAGATCTCATTGATCAAGGTGGAAGGGGCAGCTGGTGGTCATCCTACTGGTCCTAGCGAAGCCTGGGCCGGGAGGCTTCGCCAGCAGCCAGGAGTTTGTGACCACTGCCACCTCCGCCAGATCTCTTTGATCAAGATGGAAGGGGACAGCTGGTGGTCGTCCTACTGGTCCTGGTGAAGCCCGGGCCGGGAGGCTTCGCCAGCAGCCAGGAGCAGGCCGGAGACAGAGCGGAGGGTGACGACCTGGGGGAGAGAGTCTGACTGGGCAAACTACAGTTCCCGTGGGCTGCAGCGAGGCACACAGACTCCATCTCCCATCAGGCCCGGCTGCGTGCCCTCCCTTGTTGCTGGGCAATGTGGTGTACTCAGGGGCCGGCTTTTCCCAAGGGAGCAAGTGAGTCACTTCTGGGCAGGAAGGAAGCCCCCGCTGAGGGGAGGCGGCACGATGACCCTCAGTGGGCTCCTTCCCGCGCTCCTCACCATGCAGTCTGCAAAGAGTGCAGCCTGGGATGGCCCCGGCGAGGCGAGGCTGGAGCTGGCGCGCTCCTGGGCCACCTCACCTTCCGTCACCTTCTTGCTATGATGAGCAGGCCCCACGGGAACCGGACAGGGAAGGCCTGGGCGAGCTCAGCTTCAGCCCAGATGAAGAGTTCAAGCAGGAGGAAGAAGAGTCCTCTGAGCCCATGGAGGTTGGTGCCCGAGCCCCCGCCCGCTTCCCCATTTCCCAACACACACACACACTGGCTTCGCCTCCCTTGCCCACCCCATTGCTGCTCCGGCGGAGCCCTGCGTTGGAGGTGGAGAATGGAGGTTTCCTACCACCCCGCTATAGACGCCCCTATATGGAGGAATCCGGCAGCCAGGCTGGGTCGGGGTCGCGCTGCTCCATCCCTACATTTCCCACCACCCCGCTATAGATGCCCCTATATGGAGGAATACGGCAGCCAGGCCGGGTCGGGATCGCGCTGCTCCATCCCTACAGGGACTAATAGGGCTTCCCCCCTTCCCATTTGTGCACACGCGTCTATAAGGGGAATTACGGGCATCTTTGTCAGAGTGGTCGAGCAGCTCTTATGCCTAGGGGGCACAGACAAGGTCCCCCTGGGAGAGGCACAGTTGTTGGAAGGAAGCGAGGTAGTTGCCCTCTGCTCTGTCTCCAGCCTGCTCCTGGCCACTGGCCACCATGGTGAAGCTGCCTCCCCTCTGCTCAAGGCCGGGCTCATCCAAGAGGTGGGTGTTTCACGCATAAGCGCAAGGGGCGTGTCATGCATGTGCAGAAGCTCAACATGCCCCTCTGCAAGCGTGACGCCCACCCGTGAGCACTGGGGTTCCCCCACCTCCCAACTGGTCCGCACAGGGAGCCAGCACCCCCCCAACCGGTCCGTGGTCCGAAAAAGGTTGGGGAACGCTGGCTTAATTGAAGCATATAGGCACTCTGCCTGTCCAGTGGAATTCCCATTTAATGCCACTGGACCCTATTGAAAGCATAAATTCAAATCTATAGATGAAAAAAAGTAGCAGTAAAATTGAAATACAGTGGTGCCTCGCTTAACGAGCACCTCGCTGACCGATGAAATCGCTTAACGAGGGGCTCTGGGCCATCGCTGGAGCATTCGCTCAGCGATGGCCCCTATGGCGTTTTTTCGCTTAGCGAATATCGCATAACGAAGCGGGGGAGAACAGCTGATCGGCAGTTCCAAAATGGCCACCGGAAGGTCCGCGCCGCATTTTCGCGCCCTGCCCTCGCTTACCTAGGGCGCGAAAATGGCAGTGCTATGGAGGAACATCGCTTAACGGTGAGTTTTAAAGCCATAGGAACGCATTGAACGAAGTTCAATGCTTTTCTATGGCTTTTTAAATTCCGTTTAGCGATGTTTCGCTATAGCGAAGGTTAATCCGGAACGGATTAACCTCGCTATGCGAGGCACCTCTGTACAGCCAGCAGCAGCAGCAATAATAATGGAAACAGCATTAGACGGAAGGTATTTCTTTGCTACTGGGAAACAACAATGAAGATTGGAATGTACTTCCCTTAGGAGGCAGTTTCAGACCTTGGGCCACCACAGAAGAGGCCTGTCTGTGAACCTGGGTCTCTTTCATGACTGTCCAAGACTCAGTTCGCTACACCTAGGGTTGCCAGATACATGAGTACCAAAAGGAGGACATAGAAAGACAAAAAAGAGGACAGAGGAGGAAGTATTGAATATTTCATTTGAATCATTCCAGATTAAACCCACAATCAATACAATTTTATTACAGTAGCTGCCAATAAATGTCTCTTAGTGAACTGACCAAGAAACAGTCATGTTAAAAAATAAAAATAAACATTATATCACCAACAAAGTTAAAATAGAGCAACTAGTATTATTAGGCTGCCAGCTTGCACAAAAAATGTATTCCTTTAAAAATACAATCTCCCCGCTTAGACACTCCAGAAGTTGCTCTACAGTCCCCCATTAGCAGATTTTCGAAAAACTTTATTTATTTGCTTTAATGCTGGCATAGCAGGTGTTGGATTTTAACACCATCTGGAAGGCCACAGGTTCCCAAGCTCTGAAAGACACCCTTCTCTTCAGAACCACTCCTTTGGTTCACAACAATGGCAGCTGAAGGAGGAAGCCCAACTCTAAAGAGCACCGCTGCCTCTCCCCGTTTCTTACCTGACCTGAGCAACTGGTATCAGCCTCCTTCCTAGCAACTGGGGAGACGACAAACGAAACAGGCACCACAGGACTTTCGTCTATTAAAATAATAATAATAATAAAAAAGACTACAGCATGATTCCGTGATGGGTTCACTTCCACCCTTACAAAATAATTCTTTGTTAAGGTGTCCCCTCAGTTCCAAACCATATGTTTTTCCTCAGGTAAGAGGATGAGGAGGAGGAGGAGGAGGAAGGCCACGTAGACAAAAGCTGGACATTTTAAAGGGTTTTAGCTTTGCCTGCTGGACAGGGGACATTAGGCTAAACAGGAGGACATGTCCTCACTTTGACGGACATCTGGCAACCCTACTTATAGGTGATCAAATCCAACCCCTAAAAAAGGAGGCTCAGTGGGGAATCAAACTCCCAACCTCTGATTCTGCAGCAGATACCTAAACCCCTGCATAACTGGTTCTGTGATGTATGATGATGAGCCATCAGGAGGGAAGAACTACTGGGCAATTGCATTGAAGCACACATTGGAAGAAAAGTGATAGGCAGGAGCAGGCTGCTAGTGGTAGGGTAGTGCCCCAGCTGGCCTAACAGATCAGTCTCTATTGCCTGCATCACATCTCAAGGCTTTCCTGAGAATACCCCAACTCTTGTGAATGTCTGGCAACCCTAGCTACACCACACTGGTGTGGTTATTGGTCTAAGTTTGGAATTATATGTCATGTGACAAGTTGTTGACACTAAGAATTTGCACTGAGTGGTTGTACACCAATCCACCCCAGCAACAGGTGTGTATGTGTATGTATAGAGGAGTTTACTTTACAAAGGTGACTGAAGTAATAACAGGAATCAGCTAATCTAAATATGGAACACAAAATGGCATTAGAATGAATGTAATTTAATCCACTTGCTTATTGTTATTATCATCAGTTATTAGCACCACAAATTTATATGAAACTATAAGCTCATGAGCTTATCTCAAAGAGCAAATTGGATATTGTGCTCTCCTCCTCATCCCCTCCCTGCACAAGCCCAGAAGCATGTAATGTTCTGCTCATCCTTGCTATGTCGGCATTAAAATGCAGCACGGGCAAATTATTCAGTGCTTGCATCAGCCTTGTAGAGAATGACCCATTTAGTCTTTTCTCATTTGAGTATTCAGAAATCTATCTGCTCCATTTTTCAAAGGTTTAAGTGTGATGAGCTTGTGTAAAGACCCCTATTACAGAACAGCATTAATGAAATATGAGACGTGGTGGTGCTGCGGGTTAAACCACAGAAGCCTCTGTGCTGCAAGGTCAGATTCGCAAGATTGAATCCACGCAACGGAGTGAGCTCCCGTTGCTTGTCCCAGCTCCTGCCAACTTAGCAGTTCGAAAGCATGTAAAAATGCAAGTAGATAAATAGATACCACTATGGTAGGAAGGTAACGGCAATCTGTGTCTATTTGCACTGGCCACATGACCATAGAAACTGTCTATGGACAAACGCTGGCTCTATGGTTTGGAGACAGGGATGTGCACTGGCCCCTAGAGTTGGACATGACTAGACTAAATGTCAAGGGGAACCTTTACCTTTATCTATTAATAAAATGCCTCCTTGCTTCCCAGTGTCACACCACACCCTATAGTGTGTGTACTCCTTGAAGAGACGGCTGTGCGAAGGATGGAAGAGGCCAAGTCCTCCCAGAAAGTTGTAATTGCCCCTGTCAATCTGTCTTACATAACCTCCCCTGGGGCTTGGTTCATACAATGCTAATCCAGGTATGTACAGAAAAAGCCCTGCACGGCAGTCAGTTCAAGCTAAATCGATGTGGGTGATCACCCTTGGAGACACAGCGCACTGCACAAATCTCTTGAGGGAGACGTGACTCCTAAAAGGAAATGTTCTGAACATCAAGCCTTACTACTTCCCTTGCTGCTAAAAGAGAAAGGCTGCCAAAGCACGTACACAGATTTTGCTGTTGGGGAAGGACCCTACATGCTTTGTGCGTAGGATGTCCTGTTCCAAGCTTCTCCCTGCAATTGGTTAGGTTGGCTAAATGCTACAGGCAAGACACTCTGACTGGGTGTCCCATAGCTGTGGAAATGTCTCGATATACATTTTCATTTTGCTATCAGCTCTTTAATGGACTCCGACTCTCGTTAGAGGTTCTCGTTAGTGGTTTACTTTCCAGAGTCACCAAGTTGCTTTTACGGCTCAGTGGAAACTTGAACCTTGATCTCCAAAGTGACAGTCCATTTTCTGACCACTTACCCGGGCCTCCTTCACCACCCTTTCTTTTCTTTTTAGAGGGCTGTTTTACAACACCCATTCCTCAACGGGTGAAGACGACCAAGGGCCAGCTGAAATGAGTGTTTCTGAATCCAAACCCCTCTCAGCTAAGGGGTGTTGGAAATCATTTAGAACTACCATCACCCTGGCCTAACTTTGGACCATCTTCATTACCATGCCCCTGAGTTGCAGGAGAGTCACCTCTAACATTTTGATGCTCTTCCCATCCTATCTCTGCCCCCACCCCTTTTTTTGTGTGTGTTCTGCTTGCAGATCTCAGCCAGAAGGGCCTGCCTGCTTGCAGATCATCTTGTCTTTGATTGTCTTTCTCTGAGAAAAGCTAGCCAAAGAAGATTCTGCTGGCAGAAGAACATCCATGCCTAATCTCAGCCCCTTACAGACTGTATATCTTTGAGACAAGATTGGACTGGCAACTTCACAGTATTAATGAACTTATTTTGTTCATATTTATTGCTTTACATCTGTGTACAGTACGTACAAATAACACTGGAAGACCCTTGGCTTTGATAAGTGGTGTACTGTAAATTAATTAATTCTTCAGTCAGGTAAGTGGGGGGATAGTTATCACATGAGAGAGGCTGTTGACTTGGGTTGGTTTGTGTGTCCTTCAATGAGCACTTCAAAGAGATCTTGTTCTGAATAACCCAGACTTATGTTTCAAAAGTGATGGGATTTGAGAGGAAATGAAGTAGCTTCTAGAAAGAAAAAGGGAGTCTGTATCCTGTGGACAACATCCTTTCTTGTCAGCAGACAAGTTTTTCAGGCTCTTTGGCCATGTTCTGAAGGTTATTCTTCCTGACGTTTCGCCAGTCTCTGTGGCCGGCATCTTCAGAGGACTGGAGTAGGAACTCTGTCCATGCTCTGGACAGCAGAGTTCCTATTCCAGTCCTCTGAAGATGCCAGCCACAGAGATTGGCGAAACGTCAGGAAGAACCTTCAGAACACGGCCAAAGAGCCCGAAAAATCCACACCAACCATCAGATCCCGACCGTGAAAGCCTTCGAAAATACAAAAAGGGAGATAGGTCATTGAGAAGATGGCAGATAGATAATATGTGCTTGGATCTGAACCCCCTTTCTTAGTAATTATCTGTCGTTAAGTCAATTCTGGTCTGTGGCTGCTCTTTTCAATATTTTCTAGATACTCAGAAGTAGTTTACCATTCCGATGATTGTTGTAGGTTTTTCAGGCTCTTTACCATTCCCCTTTTTTTTGCAGGCATCCTGGAGCTACGCCGATTGCCAGAGGTTACAGGAACATTAAACCCTTCATAAGTACGCACTCAAACTGGAAAGAAGGGTTACCGGTTTTAAGGGGCCGTAATTCAGTGGATTAAAAGATGAGATGAGATGTCGATAAAAGCTCTCAAGCATTTAAAAAGCAAATACAAACCTTTTTGCTTAGATTATTGTTTTAAATAGTAAAAAAGAGCTCTTTGAAAATAAGATGTCCTTTCAGTGAATCTACATTTATCACCCCATAAATGTGGATACACTCCAGGGTGTCTGAAATTGTCATTAAAATTCACTGTGACATATGTGTAGCGTTATTGCAGTGTTGAATTTTCACTTTTTAAAAAAATGTGTTATTATCAAATGTTGCTTATGCCAGTTATTCTTGGATTGTGCTGCTGATGTTCAAAAGTGACCTAGAGGAGAAGAGAAGAGAAGAAAGCCATGAAGAACAAGTTGATCACAAGTACGGATGAATCACTAAGCACCCTGTTGTGAGTTGATCCTTGCAAAACATGAATCACAGGTTCATAGAGTTGCAAGGGGATGTGTAAGACTATCCCACTTAACTCAGTGATGACAAAAGTTGTTCGGTCTCAAGATACCAGCGGAAGTCTTAACAAAAATAGCTATGCTTCTCCAGATAGGGAGACAAATCTTATGTGAGTGGCGAGGCAGGATGAAGTGCTTGACTTTCCTGTATGTAGGAAGTCTTGATAGCCTGGACACACATGGCCAAATAGTGAAAGAGCTCAATAGCGACAGAGCTCATTGCTCATTACCAAGGTCCTCATATGTGTATTGTACCTGCATTGCATTGATGCACCCAAAGCCTGGTGTTAGGGAAGGGACTGAGAATACATGCACTTGAGTTCATCAGGCCATTTAGAGCCAAAAAAATAAGATAGGCAAACATCATCATCCATCACTTGCAAATGCGCGCACACACCATTTTTCTTAACTGTTCTCCAACAGGCCATTCCTTGAAATCTCAGGAAACAGGAAGCGGTGGGTGGGTGGGTGGGTGTGACAGAAAGAGG